CCTTATAGTCGATGTAAAGAATCCAAACATTAATGAAATACATTTGAAAAATCAATTAATTTTGTCTTTTTGTGAGACATTTATTTCATATAATGTCTTTTCGACGATTATATCAATTCATAGACAATAAACATATAGTACTCATAGGTTTAATAATTAATATAAATTGTTTGCCACAACTCATCGATTGTAATGTTAGGCCCAAACTGCAGGTCATATCGCGTCAAACGCCTGCCATTCAAGTGAACGACAAATCAATTATTGACATCAAAGCCAATAGTAGTCTACGGCTTAAATGTGAGGGATCACAAGCCATCAGTTGGTCCTTTCCAGACAATCAACTAGTAATTCATTATTTCTTAATTATTATGCCTTTTTTGATTACTAGTAATTAAATGTCTGAACATTTTATCGATCAATGCATTCATTTATGTTTTATAGGAATCGCCTCCAAACTCATCATTCGTTCAAATAAAGTCCAAATGTTTCAAAACAAATAATTGTGTCTCTAATCTGACAATAAGAGACTTACAGTTTTGGCAAACGGGGAACTATTCGTGTTTTTATAATAAGTCTAAACAAGCATTTGATTCAATCTATGTGTTCATCAATGGTAAGCCTTTTCTGACATTAAATAAGCATTTCTATAAAATTCAATTCTTAGCGCAAAGAATTGTTTTATAAATAAAATAAATATTTCTGTGAGTAACACTTGAATGACATTTAAAAAAGGCTTTAGGTTTTGGAAACTTATTTTTGGAAAGTCTACACTTTAGATAAAAAAGTTGAACACTTTTAAAGTTTAACAATTTGTTTGTTTTAGACCCAAATAACCTGATTGTGCCGATTGAAGGGAGCGATGAGTTCATAATAGTACCGGTGCTCGAGAATAGTACCAGTCTTGAAATCCCATGCAAGCCAACCAACTCGGCATCAGTAGTGACCCTTCATTCCTATGACTCCAAAATTGAGAACTTCGTGCAAATGTCCAACGATTTGCTCGCATATGACCCAACCCTGGGCTTCACAGTACATAACTTTCCTTTCAAGCAATACAATGCTCTCGACTGCAAAGTCAAGTCCGGTCTCAAGGAACAGTACATTGGAGTAACTGTCCATCAAATAAGTAAGTTTTATTGATAAGGGCTTTTATAGCATTTATTCTGCATCACAAATACAATTCTGTATAATTCTGTGACAATCTCACCAATGAATGTATGAATGTATTGAGAATAATCTCAAGGCATTGCTTTTACAGATAAAAGTAATGATTTGACATACCTGCGCTTTACGTCCATGATAAACTTATTTGTTTTATGAGTAGCTAAGAATTACGGATAATTAATAAAATAAATATTATTTTTATTAATGGCGACAATGAATATTTTATATATTGAAAATGCTACTATCTTACAAGTGAACTAACAGTAATTTTTACTATTTTAATTAGTTTATTTATTTTATAAATTAATTAATCAAACCAAATTTGTGTTTGCTTTTAATTAAAGGGAGTGAGGGAGATTTTTAAAATTAATTGTTTATCAAAATGTTGATAATAAATCCAAAATATGAATTTTAAGTCACATTTTGTAAGAACGAAAATTAATTGATTTCCATATTTTTACACCGAAAACCCACATAACAGTGCACTTCACGGCTTATTTCATGATAAGGCACTGGTGTGTAGAGAATTGGAGGGAAAGGCAGGTTTGACCCGTTGTTGTCGTCGTTTGACATTTAAGATTGAGTTCAACAGATCCTTTTCCTTCACAAATCTCTTTAGTGAAGTGAATGTGAAATGTATTTTTGCCTTCATTTTTGCCAACAACTCATTACTTTTCAATACAAGTGCTATCGTATTAGTATGTGATAAGCAGTGTGACCAACTCTGATTTTTAAAATAGTGTACAAAACTCAAAAATAGTGGATAAAATAGTGTACAAATAGTGTACATCAGTTTTAACTGTGGATTTTAATTACAATATTTTTAAATGTAAAATATAATAATATTTTAATTGAGAATAAAAATTATTATTTTGTCTTATTATTAAATTAAGTTAATTTTATTTATTTAATACATATTTTTATAAACTTTTAACCAATTCAGTGGATTTTTGAATTCGTCTATTTGTTAAGATTAAATATTTTATATTACATAATTTTATTTTTAAATAGTTAACATTCAATTTACAATATTTAACATATTTATGCAAATTTTTAATTTTTCCAAACTGTTGTACCGCATGTACAATATTTAAACAATAAAATTATAAATGTAATATATTACAGTATTTAATAAAAATCGTAACAAATATATGAATGAATACTACAATG